GGCGCCCCTCGCTGCCCCGCTCGCCAGCGCTGACACCCGCCGCCGCCGGGCTTGGCTGCTGGTGCCTTCCCTCCCCGCGTTTATCAGGGAAGACCCCAGAGGAATTTTTTTTTTTTTTTTCTCACCCCCTTTTCTTTCCTTTAGCTTGCGGCTCTGTTCAAAGTTTCCTTCCCCCGATAAGCCGCAGCAGCGTTTACCACCGTTGCCCTAGGCTTTCCCCCTTCCAGCTACCCGAGCCGGCTGCATCTCTTTTGACTGAATAGAGATGAAGTTGTTACGCGTGACGACATCTTGTTCGCTTTCAGAATGATTTTGTTCGCTTTTGAAGTGCGCTTTTCCTCCCCTTCTTGCTACTATAAAAAGTTGTTTGTTTGTTTGTTTCCTCTGGAAATTCACTGATTGTATTCGAGTTGTGTGGCGTTCCTCATGTTTTATTGCACTTTAAAGTCACCTTAAGGGGCTCTTTTGGAGGGGGGAGGGTACGCGCTCGCCACTTTGTCAGCCGACAGGTGCTAATGTGCTAAATAAACCACCTAAGACTGGTATAAATTACTCTGGAGCCGTTGCCAGGATACATACACTACTTGCATACACAAGATAAAGTCCCTGGGTTTATAGTATCTAGATGATTCACTTCTGAAGGACAGTTGAAGGAAATAAAAGCAAATGGCCCACGTGGCTTCTGTGGGCAAAAACATTTTTATGCTGGGCAGCACGTTACCGGGTGCAAATCTGTATAGGTTTGCTAAACGGCCTTTAAACAAGCTAGTTGTAGCACCAGGTTGCAGGAGGAAAAATGGATATTTATGTTTAATTTTGTCTTACCTGGCTTATTTTAGGGAATTATGTTTGAAGAAGATGGTTCTCCTGGACTTTCTGGAAGATACAGATTAAGTTGAGCATATGTTGGCTGACAGATGGGCGGTTGTTGTAAGATGTATGGAAATGTTTATTTTGTTGAATTCAGTAAATACTTCTTCATACCTTTTTCAGGTTCACTACTGTTAGAATCGAAGATAAATCCAAATACTGCATATCAAAAACAGCAGGCAAGTATTTCTGCTAGGCTCTATTTTTTCTGATTGCTGATGCTAAGGAATTGTTTTATGCTGAAACTAACCGCTTTTTTCAGAAAAAAAGCAAAGCGGCATGACGTGCACTTGTCGATGGTGTTTTTCATAGAGGTGGAAAACTCACTTGGAAGCCTGTAGGTGCTATAATACTTCGCATTCTAGAAATGTTGGCCTCCTAAAAAACCCTTTTGGACTTCAGTTTTTGGAGAGAATATATGCAATTTGGATAAATACTGAACTCATTACAGGAAAAATAGTTAGAAACATCTATGCATAACTTTTGTCTCCCATCCCAGGCCGTATGAAATAATTGCCGAATTAGGAAGGCAAAACGCTGGCCAGCTCTGTTACAGTGTATTTACTTCTTGAGTTCTTTTTCTGGAAATGACATGAAGGAATTTGTCTTTGTGGGACTTCTTTTCATTGTTGCTGTTTAGTTTTAGTTTTAAGCCTTGAAAACTTCTGCTATCTTAAGTAAAGTGGCTAGCCATGGTGAGACTTACTTGCACGGTTGTCTTTCCTGGGGGTAAGCCTTCTGCGAAACAAAGAAGTGAAAGAGTTGGGAGCTATGTTAATAGGTCATTTTTGTTTAATCCACTAAAAAAATCAGCTTACTAAATCTCTTTTGCTTTTATTGCTTTTATTGCATTTTCCTTTTTCTGCATTAATTTTTGGTGTTTCTGCCTACATTGTTCTCATGGTTATTACTGGGGTTTTTTCTGTCTATTCCTTTGTTCTGCAGTAGATTCTCTGTTCCTTTTGTTCAGTGTTTTATACTGCTCTTCACTATTATAGTATCTAGAAGTGTTTCAGCACTGGAAAACAGTAATTTTGTTCTTCCTAAATCATGAAGAGACAAATCTTTTAAGAATTTTGTTTGGTTTGATCCCCCCCCAGTGGAAAGGTGACAAGTTATGTTATGAGAATTTGAGGAAAGAGACTTAATTAGCTCTTGAGCACAGGTTGGCTGACTTTAGCTTAGGAGCGAGTCAGAGTCCCGGGCCTAGCTTTTCAGAAAGCTCTGTTTTCTGTGGTTTCCACTTTTTACTCATTAGATATTGGTGGTTTAGTCAGGTGGATGATGGTCGTAGGCTTTTCTTGGGTGGGCCATTCTGAGGAAGGAGGATGGTCTTTATGGAGCTCTGCAGGGTTCTGAAAGTCAAGAGCCTTGAGCTGCTTCCTGTTTAGCAGAGGAAACTAATACATAATGAAATACAAATGCAGATTATGTTGCTGCAAAGTTTTAAATTGCTTCCTTTTGCAGCCTGTTTTCTGAAACTTCATACAAGTGATTATTTGAAAGCCTTCTTTACTTAAATGGTAGGAAAATTTCCAGTGACTTAAGTAGCTTTTGTGTCATTTTTCTTGTAGAAGTCTTTGTAGGTTGTAGTTTGGAAAAACTTGGGCTGAGATTTATTTTGGTTGGCTTTTATTACTTATTTTAATGCTTTTGTGTCCTCATGGCTGAAAGTGTTTGCTTCACTGTTCACTCTTTCGACAAACTTTGGTTTTGGGCTGTTTTTTTTTTTTTTGAAGAGGAATAAGTATGGATGGTTTCCAGAGACAGGTTGTAGCTTTGTCTAACCTGTGAAATCATGCAGCTTTTGGTTGACAGAGCTTTGTCCTCAAGTTTTACGTGCTTCCTTCTGAGTAGAGAGGCAAAAAGCAGACCTTAATGTAGCATTCCCATGCTTCTCAGTTTGTGAGATTTCAGTCTTGCCTCTGAAAGATTGTGGTATTCAAACCTGGATGTCTCAGGAACAGATCCTTTTTAGAAATGGTGGAAAGATTTAGGCAAAGTGTTTTGGTTAACTAGAGATGAAGAGAGGTGATCTTTTCTCAGCGTCCCTACTTGAGTAAGTCTCTTACATAGGCAGCCTGAAGGCTTGGAGGCTATGCTGATCTGCACAGGGCAGATGCTTGTAGGCGAATGGCAGCGTGGAGGAGAGCTCTCTCTTCCACTTGCCAGAGTTCAATTGCAGATTTTCGTTAAGGTGCTGATCATCTTGGGTTTGGAGAAAGCAGCAAGATGGTGCAGCTTGATGGAAAGGACACATGCCCTGCCTACACATCTGTCTTCATAGAAATTACTTGAATGGACTTACAGGATAGCACTCGCCTAAACTGTGACTTGCGTAACAGCATCCTGCAGAAGAAAACCCACCCTGTTTTTTAGTTGCTTTGCATCAGCCTGTGATTCCCAGTATTACACTGTTTGTGCTAAGAAGTGCTATAACTATTGACTGACTGCAAACAAGGCAGGCCTGTTATCTGCCTCCTCAAATCGTGTTTGTGGTCGCTAGCTTTCGTACAGAATTCAATTCTGTCAAGGTGTTAGGCATACTATAATCATGACCTCTTTCTCAAGAGAAGTAGGACTTGGATTGGACATAGGTGCCAGGCAGCTCAGCATACAACATAAAAGAATCTCTAATTCCATGTATGGAAAGAACGTGAGAGCCTGAAGAGCTTTAGAACCCCCTGGATTTTGGGGCATAGCCTTTGAGAGTGAGTTACCTCCACTGGACACCCCGTATTGGCCAAAGGGCAGGGTCAGATGTGTTCTGGAGGCTTTAGCAGGAGCAGTTTAAGAAGTTGTTACCACACCCATTTGCTGTTCCACCCTCTGCTTGAGGTTACTGTTCCCTTTCAGTGAGAAATCAGATGGATCCGTTCGAGTGCTTTGTTCCTCCAGCTCAGTTACGAGGGCAGTAATTTTCAGTTGCATGGCTGTAAGACTTTAAACTGCTACAGAAATCCTTACTGTGAACACTGCCTTCTGATGTTAATTCTCCTTTAGGTGCGCTCTATCCGTTTTCAGATCTAACATGAAGAATGTGTACAAATACTGTCTTTTGCACAGAGTTGCCATCACTCATGTGACAACAGAGCAATGTGCTTGAGGCAAAACCGGAGTTACTTGAGGCTGGGATTTAACACATTTGCAGGGGTGCTGTTAAAGCCAGCCTGAGCAGTTGCCAGGGGGCTTCTTCACTCTTTAATGCCAGCATGAGTATTCATGTTACTGTGTGACAGGTTAGATGTAGGAATGGATTCAGTTGAAATACCTCTTTTTGCTGGATTAATTTTTATCGGCATGTGTTCCCCCGTCTGTTTCACTGTACAGCTCGCTTGTGCTGGCATAGGGGGGCTTGAGGGGCCAGTGCAGGAACGAGGAGAGCTGGAGTAGCAGACATCGTGCAAACCAGTACCGACACTGAAGAGGGGTTTGAACTACTCTCTCAGTTCAAATTGTTGTTCTGAATTAATCTCTTCTTTTGTTTGTCTTTATATTATGTTTGAGCGCATTAAGGAACATTGCTCATCGACGGAGCAGCATTGCGGGTGCTAATCTAAGCAGGTGGGAGTGGTAGTCTCTCGCAGCAGCTAGGCCTGGAAGATACCTGTCTGTGGTCTTCGTGGGTTGTCTTAGGTCACGCAGGAAGTGTACGCCAGATGAGTAGATTTTGTATTGGTATTGGACAATTTTCTGATGAAACCATCTTTTAGTCTTTCAGAAATATTTTTGGAGAAACTTATGTAACTCTGCTTTGCGTGGGCAGTACAGATTGAAACGAGTACCATTCAGTAACTCGAGAATTCTCACAAAATTTTTGAGTGCAGTCTCTATGGATGCATGCAGTCATTTAAGTTACTGCACTATATCTCTTACTTGAATCATTCTGGGCTATGAATGGGACTTCTTCATGTATGTGTCCTTCTTTGCTCATTGAGGCACCTCTGAGTCTCCGCTCACCTGGCAGCGTATTGATTTTGAGTGTCAGGGCATCAGTAAGTTCACAGAACATTTCAAGATAAACATTTCACATTTTGAGTTCTGTAACAGCCATAAATTGCAGTTAAGAATTCTTACTGTTTTATTAATCTCTAGAAGAGAACCACGTCAGGGAGCTGATCAGACTTTTCAGTGCCTGCAGTTGACAATTTTTCTTTTTATTCCTTGAAGCGCAGTTCAACTGCTCACTCTAAAATGGCACGCTGTAAACATAGAGATTCAGCTGTCCGTGAGCCGGAGATGAGGGTGGACAGCTGTAAGCAAAAACCGTGTCAGCTATATGAAGCTGTACCATTTGCGCACGTGAATCAGAGCCCGGCAGCAGGGAGACTTCCTATTAATATTTGTGACTGTAGGACAAAAGTGCAAGTGTAATACAGGGCACTGTAGTGTAAACAAGCAACTCTCATGAACAGCATTAAAACCATAGTGCAATGAGCTCAGTTCTTTCCAGAACAGGAAAACTTTGTTTCTTTAAATGTATATGTAAAAA